ATTTTTGTACAGGGATTTTGCTTACCGACAATACGACGTGAGCTACGACCGGACCAGGACCAATCAGAATGATCAGTCTTTCTTGGACATTTGCCGCGGAAGTGTTGTGTTAATTTCTGTTGTGATAAGTGTGGTTGTGTTTGCAGTTTGATTTTTCGGTTTTGATATTATGTTAAAATTAATTTTGAAGTATTGTATCACCTGTTTTTATGTAATAGTACTTTTTTTAGTTCTATGATCTGATTTGTTAATGTTTGTTTAACAATGTTATACCAAAGAGGTTATACTTAATAGGTATATCAATTTGCATAGCCTAACTTTTTTATCAATAAACTTTGTAGATTTTCAGATTATTTAATTCCTTTTGTTTCCGTTTGTAATTTTATTTTTAAGACATATTATGTGATTGTTTCATATAATATGTTTTAAAAATAAAATTGCAAATAGCGAATTAAAATAAAAAGTGTATTTTACAATTCCCCCCGGCCCCGCACCCTTTTGACTAACCTGTAAATGTCAGCTTTGTCGAGAGATGGCGTTACGAAAATGGAACCGATTTATTACAAGGAACTTGGGCTTCTTTTTCGTTAGTATATTCTGTGGGTTTCACATTCTCAATGCTACTTTTTTTATTCGACAAGATGTTGTTATCAGATTTTCAAACAAAGTTTAGTGTTTGAACATCATTAACTTTTTGTTTTAAATTATACGGCACTGAATTTATTATTATGGATTTTAAGAGCTTCTAAGGTCTCAAAACCAATGATGTATTACAGTTATTTGAAAATTACATATTAATTGCATTTTCCATAAAAATCTACAGGGTGTTTCAAAAAACATGTCGCATTTATAATAACTTTTATCCTCAAAATTTCATTCGAAACGCTAAAAGTACTTGGAAGAAAATTATAATAAATCGAAAAAACATTAAGATTATATATGTTGATGTTGATATGAAAAATAAATCTTATTTTTACGTAAGGAATCTCCCCACGCGAGATGGCACATGTTTTTTGAAACGCCCTGTATATTAGAAAGAGACAGATGATAATTTTTGGTAAGATGTTAGCAGGAAATCGTTAATATAAATTTTTTGTATAAGTGAACTCTTAAAACCCACAATAAAAAATTCAAGACCGTATTTAAAAAAAAAGTTGAAGATGGCAGCTAAAAGACGAAACGTCGCGTCGGTTTGACAATCTGCTAACGAGAATGTGAAATTTATCTTGATAAATCTATTCAAATAGTCTTAATAAAATAAAAATATAAAATCCCTTAATTTAAAAAAAAAATAACCTTTTTTTCCATAGCAACTGTTAAAATTGCCATATATCTATCAAAAATAGTAGATAAAAAGTACCTACTTTAACCGCAAAGGTAGATTAAATGACACTTTAAGCAGCGAGGATAAGTTAAAAACTTTATTTCTTATCGCACGTTTTTAATTGCTTCCATTTACATATGGTATTCGTTTTCATAAGTTATTCGTGATTTAAATGGAAGTAGTTTGGATATGGCGTTTGTCGCCTCTGCCTGAATATCTGTTGGTAATTTACTTATTTCATTTTGAGCCATTTCTGGTTCCAATTCAATAAGCAATCGACACGAAAGAGAATTAAAAAATATTGACTCAAAACTGAGAACTGAAGAGAGCTTTATTTATTTGTCAAATTACATAGAAGCCAACGCCAACCCAGCACAATATTTTTTCTACTCGTAATAAATTCCTTGAAATAATAATTTCTGAATATTTTTTAAAACGTAACTCGCTATGGAAAAAAATATTGTTTTATACACGACGATAAAATTGCATATTATCGTCTCCCGAAATTAATGCAATCGCGATTTCATCGTTCGTGAGTTAATTTTTCCGGTTGACGATAAAACACCATTTTATCGTCTTGTATAAAAAATAACTATTAATGTGGCACTTTGACAAGTACCTATCAACTCTTTTTTATTTTTTTTTTATCAAATTGCCGCCATTTAATCAACCTCGTATCTAGCAAGATACGAAAAAAATCAAAAGGCAAAAAAGTTGTATTTTTTGTTGCTTAATCCGAAAAAAGTAAAAAGAAGCCAGCGGCGAGTGCCCTCCGGGACGCCACTGGATTTAATAAGTAATCAAATTAAATTTAAATTAACTCCTCTCTATCATAAATACCTCTTTCAAATTTTGACAAAATCGAGGAGAGGTTTACTACAATTTATAAAAAATCGATTTTATTTCCAAATTTTGACAACCTGTATATTAAAAAGAAAGTTTTTCTGAACCTATGTTTTTATATAAACTTTTTCTCTTAAAATCACTCAAACTAACATCTGAAGTTTGGCTACGTACTTAAATAAACACCCTATATAAACAAATGATTTACGAAACTACGTAGATTCTTTTTGATATTCCCGAGTATGTTTATAACGGGAATCTAAAAATATTATTTTTTTATTTTATGTAATCAAAAAAATTGCAGAAACACGTATTTTCGTTTATACTTAAATAAAAAAATGTGAACCCTAATTTCAGTAATTTTCAACTTAAATGGCCAATTTTATTCAGTTCTATCCTTGGTTTGTATTGAGTACACGCTGTTGTAATTGGTTAAGACTTAACTTTTATATGATTGATTGTTTTTTTTAAATTGTTTATTATCTATCCAGCATTATGTTAATATTTGTTTAATATTAATGTTTAATATTTGTTTAATATTTAATATTATTTTAATTTGGCTCAACTTTCGTTTAGCTGAAATCTGTTATATAAAAAATGACTTTATATATGCGTTCTAGAAGGCGTTAGGAGTACAAATATACAAAAATTTTCCTGCGGAAATGCGTCATTTTCATTTTTCAGACTTTAGTATAGCCGAAATCTGTTACATTAAAACTAGTCTTCGGGGTGTGTTTTAGACATTTTTCTAAACATAAAAATACAAAAAAGTGTCTGCGGAATTTTTTTTTATTTTACATAAAAAAATGCTTTGACTTTAGAATAGCCGAAATCAGTTACATGAAAAATGAACTTATATTTGTTTTATACGAGCCTTTACGAGCAAAGAAATACAAAAAAATTCCTGCGGAAATGTGTCAATGTCATTTTGTGCACTTTGTTTTTCATACATTTTTCGGTTTAGAAGCTTACGGGACCCGGGAGCGAATAGGGGTGCTGGGTGGGATAAAACATCTTTTGGGGGAATAACAGTTCTTGTAGAATAGATAATATAGGTTCTTGTAAACTATAAGTACCTCGGAATGTTGCACTTATTCTTGTTTTTTATTAAAGCTTTACGTAAATAGGGCTGATTCAAAACAAAAAATCATTGGATCATGCAGTCTTCTTTTATATTTTAATAATTAACTGTGATTTTGCAAAAATATTAGATTAGTTAGCATTTGGGTTGCTTTGGTTTGCTTTTCTTTGAGGAGGGTGTTAAGCTGTAGTTTTTATATTTTAATAATTGACTGTGACTTTGCAAAAATATTATTAGATTGGTTAGGATTTGAGTTGCTTTGTTTAGCTTTTCTTTGTGGAGGGTGTTAAGCTGTGGTTTTTATATTTTAATAATTGTGATTTTGTAAAAATAGTATTAGATTTATTATTAGATTGGTTAGCATTTTAGACACTTTTAAATGATTTTTTTTTTGGTTCAAAAGTGACAAAAAGATAATTTTTTATGTATTTATGCTTACAAAAATGGAAAATGAAAATCAAGCATTTCCGCAGGAATTTTTTTTATTTTCCTGAGTTTGTAAACGCTTCTAAAAGGCAAAAATATATTTATTTTTTATATAACTGATCTCAGCTATTCTAAAGTCTATTAAATTTCCTCAGAAAATGGATACAGTTTATTTCCGCAGGAAAGTTTTTATTTTCCTCAATTCGTGAATGCATCTAAAAGGCAAAAATATATTTATTTTTTATATAACTGATTTCAGCTATTCTAAAGTCTAATAAATTTCTCTAGAAAATGAAAACAGCTTATTTCCGCAGGAAAATTTTTGTGTTTATATGTTCAGAAAAATATTAAAAATAAAAGGCAAAATGTATTTTTTATAGCAGATTTCAGTTATTCTAAAGTGCGAAATTTGGAAATTACGCATTTTCGCAGGAAAATTTGTGTTTTCCGTTGTTCACAGTAGCTTTTTAAAGACAATTTTTTTTTCTAATAACTGATTTCAGCGAAACGAAAGTTGACCCTTTAATTTTAATATATAACGAAAATAAAGTTTTGCTTTCACAAGGCTTTAATATTATAGTGTAAATTTTTAAGATATTCAATCTTTCATATATCGCAAGGCAATATTCAAAGTTTGTTAACTAACACAATATGTTCTATCTTATTCTTAAAAATTCAGTTATAATTTTTCGGAAATGCTCGTATCCATCGAACTGTATTTTATCTCAGTTTTGTGTGGGACACTGTATAAAATCATCTTATACATAAAAAAGCGCAATTTAAAATACTACTCAATGAGTCCTAATATGTTTCTAAAAAAATACTGTATCGATGCTGCTAGATTTTTTAGTCGGCCGGCTATTTAGCTGCAGATTTGAAACCAATATAATATATTGTTATTTAGCCGCGCACATATGCAATCAGATAGTTTACCGATCGGCTCCATAAGAATGTATTTATTTCATTTTTGCAACAAAAAATTGCCGGCTAAAAATTGGCCGGCTAAAAATTGCTTGTGAGCGCGTAGCCTTAGAAAAGAATCCCCTATAAAAAAAGTATACTAAAGTATAAAAAAAAGAAAATAAATAAAATATAAAAAATAATTAAAAGATCAAAAGAAAAGGAGAAAATTTTAAAAAAATCTTAGTTCTTTGCGTATTTTATAAATTCAGCAATCTTATAACTGCACAAAAATATAAATATTTATTCCTTGAAATAGAGAAAATATAGATACATATTCATTTAAATGGGACATACTGTATCTATCTTAGATTAAGAGTATCTATCTATAAATATGTGTTTCACTTAGAAAAAAAAAGCACTTACTTCCTTTACCGGCAATAATGTTAATTTACTAATATTTTTCCTCCATATCACTGACAAATATTAGTGACATTATCTCAGAGCTTCGCTAGATGCAAAATGTTTGTAAATTAATTACATTTAACTATTGTCTAATTGATAAATTTTTTCACTATTTATTATCGATCCGGAGTTAAGTTATTGTTTATTTAATCCAGGAAAAACCAGAGAATAATAACTAACATTCGCGAGGTTACAATAATTTAGCTTTTTGTATTCCGATAAAGAACTAGGGCCAAGGGCTACGTGACGCGTTTTTTTGGAAACTGATAATGAGAAAGAATTTTCCGAACTGTGTAGGTGTCCGAACGCGACTCCTCCTCCTCCGCGAATATTATCCTATGGTTAGCATGGCCGGTGCTGCTGAGTTCGCTCCACAATGCAGAACCGGATTCAGGAGATATCTATTTCTGAAAAAAATCGGAGTATTTCTGAAATAGAGAAATCTAAAAAATAAAAAAATAAAAAATAGTGTGTGCATGTTCGAAGTGAAACTTCTTACTAACAGCTATTAAATTGAAGGATTTGAAGGACATGTTTGAAAAAATGTAGTTTGAAATGTTGAAAAAGTAATAAATTAAAAACATATTTTTTACGTGTAACAATTAGTTTTTTATGCGTAACATATAATTTTTTACACGTAAAAAATAGTTTTTTGTTTGTAACAAATAGTTTTTTAGATGTAACAAATAGGTTTTTACGCGTAACAAATAGTTTTAAACGCGTAAAATATAAAATTAATCAAATAGTTTTTACGGGTGACAAATAGTTTTGTAGACGTAATAGTTTGGTTCATTTTCACAAACTTTTATTGAAATATCAATAACACCATATTATACTCGTATTCTGTTGTTCTACACGTTACCATAGGCTGTTATTCCCACTTTTTCGATCGTTACCACTAGCCACTAGCTCGTGTGTCACGGCCTTGGATTTTTATTCCCAGCGCGCGTAAAGAAGTTTCACTTCACAAGAATCCAAACGGAAACCAACTTCTCGGTGTTTGTTTTACTTGTAAATACAGATTTGTCTAATCAACAAAAAATACTTGATTTTTCAGCGGTATATATTATACAGGGTGAGTCTTAAATAAGTGAAAATATTTTTAGGAGTAGTATATTTCAACACCAGAAATACGGTTATGAGGTTTTTTTCGCGAATGAAAAATTTTGAAAATTTGAAAAACACACAAGAAAAGCTTGTGTAACAACCATCTTGTTAGGTTTGGTATTATTAGTAGTTATTTGGCAAATACTCGTCAGCGAGTAATGGTAGTAAGCAAGTAAGTTAAAAAACATGATTTCTTGATCATATGGCAATATAGGTAGTATATTAAATTTACAAGAAAGAAAACCCCAAAAAGATACTGTGATTTTCAAAATTTAAGCAATATTTTTTTCAAACGTCACAAAAGTATTAATTTTTACGACGTGATTGACAATATATGACAATATATAAAATCATTTTAACGCCTAGGCATCTAGGCATAAACGTAAAGCACTTTTACGCCTAAGCATAAAAGTACGAAAATATATTATTAAACTGGCATAAAGTGTCAAATTCAACGAGCGTAACGAGCGTAACCGTAGTTACTCACAAGGTGTGACTTTTAAATCTTTTTATATTATTTGGAACGTTTGAAATTGTTTAAAAAATTATTTGTGGCGATTGAAAAAGAATAGCATGTTTTATTCGGAGTAAAAATGACTTTTTGTGCCTCGCCTGTACGTCGTCAAACGAACAGCTTCGCCGCAAAAAGTGTCATTTTTACTCCTAATAAAACAATATACTATTTTTTTGGAAAATTTCAGAGTAAAATAACTCGGTTATTTTGGACTTATTTGAAAAACGGTAAAGAGAAAATATGTTTCATTTCTCCAAAAAAATCCTTAATGGGTATTTCGCCATTGTACTGCAAGATATCTACAAAATCTACAAAATAAAATAGTCATTTTTTGTAACACTTCTGCGTTAAACCTAAACGGACCTAAAACCTAAACTTAAACAAGGTAAACCCTAAACCTAAACTTAAACAACAACGGACGCCGCTTGTCAGAAGTTATGTTTACAGTAATACAAATTTGTATAACAAAGAAAAAATGCTTAACGTTTCGGAAAGTTATCTCCTTCCGTCGTCGGAAGCAAAACAAATACAAAGAATAAAGAAAAAAACTATTTAAAATATTTAAATTCAACTATTCGAGAACACTTTTTAAAACAGATACGTCTACAATAAACCATTGACGTTCTGTTAAAATGACATATATACATATATTAGCTTCGTTCGCAGTGGCGTAACAACAGACTCACGGGCCTGTGTGCAAAAATTTTACCGGGCCCCCTATTACACCTACATATTTCAATGGTCTACTTATATACTATTCTGAATAATATGCACTCATATTTTAGGTTAGAAATAACATTATCAAATTAATTTTTATATAGTATTATTTATTACTGCAACACAGAATATGTTACCCAAAACATATAAAATATCAAATAAATAAAAAAATAAATAAAAACAAAACAAAAAACAACAACAAAACTAACTAAATTAAAATAAACAATGTAAATAGGAACATAAACATGTTCAAATTCTTTTTTCCTTGCTTTAGCATGGGCGAAAGTTGACACAATATTACTAATGTCTATTGAACGGGCAACTTCATTTTCTATTGAAATAATTGCCAAAGCTGATAACCGTTTTTCGCCCATAGTATTTCATCTGTTTGACAAGCTTTAATTTGGAAAAAGATTTTTCAGCCGAGGCCACAGAAACAGGTATGGTGAGAAAAATATGACACGCTGTTAAAATCTCGCTGAAACTAGAAGACGATGAAAGGTTTTTAAATAAAATAAATTCAATAATGCAATTGATTTCATATAATTTATTTCGGAAACATTGCCCGAAGGAGAGTAATTGAGAAGAAATCGTATAGGCAATATCATTGAGGTATTTAAGGTATAGAACCTGACCCATTTCACATATATCCTCATCAGAAACAGAAGGATTCTGCTTGATTCGCGATAGCATGTGATAGATATGGAAATGCGGACTGGGCCCCCCGAGGGCCCGGGCCCGTGTGCTTCGCACTCACGGCACATCGATAGTTACGCCACTGTTTGTTCGGGTTCTTGTTATTACCGATTCTGAACCGTCCTAGAATTCTGCAGCGCATGCGCAAATGAAATAATGTCTTCATATTTCCTTCTACGCATACGCATCACAGTTCTAGGACGGTTCAGAATCGGTAATAAGAGTAAGCTTATATCAAGTTAAATTTCAAAATTAACAATTACTACCTTATAACAATTACTTAATAAGGTAAAACCAAAAAGCCCCAAACTTTCTGTATGATTATTTTTAAATTTTACGTATGTTATGTTCTTTAAAATCAAAGAAGCGATTGCCATACATTACTAACATCTACAGATGCATGAGCAATACATTTATTTTTATTAGATTGAATTAAAAAAAGCCTTTTATTTTTCTTTTAGAGGTTATCGCTTCTTTCATTATAATTTTGGCGTTATTAAAATTTATTCTGTGCCCTGTATCCCATGAATGCTGACAAATCTTAGATTTGTGAAAATCTCCCTTTCTTAAATAATCTTTATGTTCTTTAATTCTAACATTTAAGGGTCTAGATGTTTCACCAATGTAAAATTTATCGCATTCACAGGAAACCAATGAATACAGAACAACAAACAATAAATGTAATATACCAAACCAAACCAAACCACATCGACATCGGTCACCGATATATTTTATTCTGTAAACTTTGTCAATGTCTCTATCTCCGCAAAAAAAGTCGCCCGCTAGATCAAAGGGATTTTGTTTGGAAATAGTCATGACTGTCTTAAGTCGATAATAAAATTAGAGCCATCTAATGTTCAAAGTGCAAAGTACTTCAAGAAGAAAATGTCGGTAGATTTATTCGGTAGAAATTTGGAAAGAACTAAAAGATAAATTGGAGAAGGCAGAGCAAGCTTCATCAGCATACAGCTGTTTCAAAAAAGATATAAAACAGCCTTGACACCAGCATATTTTTGATATTGATTATAGATACTCTGGAATAAAAATATAACCTAACATCAGAACAAATTAGTTCTGGACTAGAGTTCGTGAAAGAAAAGTATTAGCACAGCTATTAGGGTACCGGATTTCTATCATTTCACGATTTCAAAATAAATCTCTGCCATTAATGCCTAACCACAGGTTAGAAAAGCTAGAAATAACTTTTATTTACCTAATTTTTATTTCATACTCGGTTTGTTCATATAGAATATAATCGAAAAAAAAAACGGTGTCAGCGATGGCTATGAAATGGAGATCGCTGTCATTTTATACGAAAATTTATATGGAAAATCTCATCGATCGTCATTTCCCAGCCAACTGGACATCAAGGTTTATTTTTAAATCTACCTTTACTGTTATTTAATTTATATTATAATTTAATAAACATACATACCTATGTTGTAATATATTATGATTTTAATATAAACATAGTCCGTATGTAGGTATTAGTATTTCTAGTAAACATACAAAAAATTAGAATTATTTGTAAACATTATTATGGATTCTAATACCTTAAGAAGATATTGGCAAGCTGCCCAAATTAAATATGGCTTCATTTCTATACGATAATCCACACTGTTCGATACCCTTCTTAACTGTATTAAATAGAAACATTCCTAATAAATCAGATATAATATCAAACTAATAACATACATTCTTTGAGATAAAATACAATACTTATGTTGATAAGATTATTTATTAAAAAATAAAATACACACAAAAACTAAAAATAGTAGGTATTCATAAAACACTCGTTTTAATATTAACTTTATTATTATTTCGTACAGGTTTTCCATAAATAGATCCGTCCATTATTCAATACAAATCTCAGGAAAATAAGTAAATATAGAGACACACTATTATGAATAGCATTTTGTTTCTAGTCAATTGTCCAGCATTTTCTAGTTTTAACCATTGTGTAGAAATACTAATCTTCCGCAGCTGACAGCTCATGCCACCACACTGAGCAGAATAACTATTAAAATATCAGAAAAAAACACACAAAAAAATTACACAAGAAAAATTAATTTTCAAATAAATTGGATTTAGAACTACCCCATGTTCCGCAATTGACAGCTCACGTCACGCACTCATAGCTTATTTTTGTAATATCTGATGTCCACCGCAAATCAGTAACTTACTATACCGGGTGCGTCTCAAAAGTGGCTCACCTCGATAACCTTTTTATTTATTCATATAAAAAAACGAGATGTGGTATGTTAGGTAAATATCCCAACTAGCAAATATAGTTCCCAGTCCTTTTTAAAATGTCACTGCCCCTAAAGTATAGTTCCTAGACCCAATCTGCCACTTAAAATGTTACTCTATAAG